TTGGATTCCTAGGCAAGAATATTTTAAATGAAAATGACTGCTTAATGTATTTGTCACCTGCTACTGTCTGGATCTTCTGAATCTGGATCTTCTTACTGTCTGAAAGCTTCTGCTTTTGGAAATGAAGTTGTATGCTAAGGCCTTTTGCAACTTGCTTAGTAATTATATCTCTCTTGACCCTGGGAAGAAAAGTGATTTTGTTTTCAGTTGTTGTTAAGCAGATGTCTGTTATCTGAGAGAGCAGCATAGTGCAGACCTAATCATAATTAGAAGAGGGAGGGTTTTTTTTTTTTTTTTTAAAGGAGTGCTACATCATGTTAAATTGTTCTATTGGGAATGGGACATATAGCCAGTGTGGAGGTTTGCCATGGAGGGATTATTTAAGGAGGTTTAAAGGAGCAGCTTTTTGTTTAATGTGTGAGTAATTATTGGTTTCCCTTACTTACAATTTGCTTCATCTCCTTAGGCTTTTCAGAAGAGCATATAACATTCTGAAAGAAAAAAAAAAAGTCCTTCTTATTACAGAAGGCATAGGTATAAAACTAAGAAGCCAATCAAGAGTTTCTAGATATCATTAAAGGAAAAATGTAAAATAGCTATTCTTATTATTTGAATGGCACTAGATTTACCCCTATGAGAGCATTACATCATATCATGATAAACTAAAATTTCAACTATAAAATGGAGTGATTTGATCTTTTTATTTTATGCAACACTTTGTGAATTCTTTTTCCCTGGTGTTTGATCTTACTTAGAATGGAACCATGAACTCCAACATACTCATTAAGTTTTTTTTTATAAAGGAAAAGTGAACTTTTCCAAAAGATAGTTCCCTCATTATAATCCAAGCATTTGATTTTACTTCTCTTCAGGTGATCTGAGTTATTTAAAATAAAGGCTTCTAAATGAAGCCTTTGAACCCTGAGTGAGCTAAGTCTCTCTCCTAAAAAACAAAAAACAAAAACAAAAAACAGAACAAAATCAAGTAAAACATAGAATAACCAACTCAGCCTTAATCCACTGCACTCTGTCTCTACTACTGGCTCCCATCTTTACTGTTCTCACTTTCAAAAAGAATCTGCACTTTAACTTTGTCCTATCATTGCCCTGCTCAGTCTCTCTTCAAATCTGAACAATCAAGGTATTATCAGTTACGAGTCCATAAAACTAGTTCCCTAAGTGCACCCATTTCCTCCTAGCTTTTACATCCTCAGTCTTATGCTGCAATGCTTGCTCCTCTTCCTTAATGTCTGTTTTGTGGACTTTGAAGACCCCCTCCCTTCCTGCTGCTCTCTGTCTTTCTCTCTCTTTCTAATTTGATTTGACCACTGGCCAGCTCTTGACATTGGGCAGGTCTGAACTAAAGACTGCACTATCTTTGCATCACAGGCAGTATTATGGCCCAGCCTGCTCATGGGGCTCTGCTTGATTCTTTCTGCAGTTTCCTGACCATTTTCCCACCGTCTGCAGTGATTCTGGTTTTTTAATTTGTTTGCTTCATTCTGATTTGACCTCCCTCCCCATTCCTTCGTAACTTCTCCATTTCCATGTTTTCAGTTAGATTGCTCTTTGTACATTTCTTCTTCTTTTTTAATTCTTGAATACTTACCTCAAATATATGACCTTTTATACAACATGCTTTCTATTTCTTTATACCAAACTTTGGCTCATAGACCTGTTTTCTCATCTGAAAATAGAAATAATAATGATCACTTTCTAATTTCATCCAAAAAATTCTGAGGTCTCATTTGGGGTTATAGATATGAACTTTGGACAATATAAAACTTTATAAATATGTAACAGTCACTTCTTGATGCCTCGTCATCATGTATTATCTCCATCACAGATATGTCAGGAAAAACTGTGCATATACATTAAGTGTCACTGCTGCCAGTTGGTTTCTTTCATCTATGAACATTTTTTCCTCTCCTCCAGTAGTCAAAGTTTCTGGAAAGTAAGAGCCATGCTACTTGCTTTAGGAAAAGACTACTAGAATTTGAAAGAAAAATGTACTCTTTTTGATGTTTAGTATAGTTTACAGCTTACAGCAGTGTATTAGAGATACAGTGGTAGATACTTTGTGTTTTGCTAGGCACAAAAAGCTAGCACTCTAAATTAGTATATTATCTATTCATTTTTGACCTATCTTTTGTGTTGTTGTCCTTGTTAGAATGCAAATTTCACTTTGCAGGGAGTTTGCCCTTTCCTCTTTTGTGTAGGGATTTTGTCATTTGTTCTTTAGTTTCACTAATGTCTTTCCCATGGAAGGTGCTCAATAAACTGTGTTGAATAAATGAATTAACAAATGGAACCCAATACTGGTAAGGACGTCAAGCTTCAGCTTTTGTCTGACTTGTTTTAGAGAATGGCTCTTAGGCTTATGGAGTCAAGGCTTGGGCTTGAATTTGGCAGTGACAAAGGTCTTTTTTTATTTGTCTGTTTGGGACTATCCTTTGAGTAAATAAGGATGTGTAAAAATAGGGCCAGACATCCAGTGAACCAAGAAAGAGGAGATTGTATCTAAGTTTCATCAGGAAAGTACCTGTTCCTTTAGTTGGAGACCAAGTAGGCATCAGAAGACTAGTGCATTGTGGGTCTAGATGGTATAAATAGTACTGACCAACCAGAAAATCAGGGATGGTAAGGAACAGGCCCAGAAAGCCGGTCAAGCAGTAAGTCATGCTCCTAGTAGCTCAAGGGCTGTCTAGGGAAAACCTGCTCACTGACTATTCAGCTGTCCCTTTAATATTTATTAATATTGAATGTGTATTAGGCACTTTTATAAATCCTGAGAACAAAAATGGCAGGCAAAACTGATGAAAGTTATTGCTTTTGTAAAACTTAAAATCTTTATTTCAGCCTTATTGAGGTATAATTGACAAAATTCTAAGCTATTTACGTACCCATTATATGTATGTGTGTGTGTGTGTGTAATACATATATATTATATATATAGTATATATATATATCTTAGAATACCAATACATATTATACACATACTATACATAATATGTTGGTGAAAACATTTAAGTTCTACTCTCAACAAATTTCAATTTTATAATTAAAGTATTATCAAGGGAACAAGTTGTTCTCTTGTTACACCTTAAATTCTCAGACCTAATTCATATTTTATAGCTTAAAGTTTGTACCCTTTTATTAATCTTTCCCCATTTTCCCTGCCCCTGGCAACCACTCTTTACCTATTTGTAAAAACTTGACTTTTAAAAAATTCCACATACAAGTGACTCATGCAGTGTTTGTCTTTGTCTGTCTGGCTTACTTCACTTAGCATAGTGCCCACAAATTCTGCATATGTTCTCACAAATATCAGGATTTCTTTCTTTCTTATGAGTGAATACTTCTGTGTTTTTGCATTCCCCTCCCCAATTTATCTGCTGATGGACACTCAGGTTGTTTCCATACCTTGATTATGATAAATAATATTGCAACGATCATGCAAAACATAGATCTTCAGTGTCCTGTTATCATATTCAATGGATATTTACTCGGAAATGGGATTGCATGCAGGTCATATGTTTTTATAAATTCTGTGACATCTTCATAATGTTTCCCATAGTACTTATAACCATTTTATATTCCTACCAACAATGCATAAGGATTCCCTTTTCTCCAGGTCCTCACCTACCCTTATTATTTTTATTCTTCTTGGTGATAGTCATCCTGACAGGTGTAAGGTGATGTCTCAATTATGTGGTATCGATTTGCATCTCTCTGCTGATGGTAAGAGGTTGAGCACCCTTGTCCATTGTTTATCTTCTTTGGTCAAATGTTAGTTTAATTCTTCTGCCCATTTTTTAAATTGAATTAATTTCTTTTTTGGTTTTGAGTTATGAGTTAAATGAGTTTGTTTTATATTATGGATATTAGCTCCCATATCAGATATATATGACTTACAAATAATTGCCCTACACCACAGGTTTTTTTTTTTTCATTTTGTTGATGATTTCCTTTGCTGTACAAAAATTTCCAGTTTGATGTTGTCCCATTTGTTTAGTTTTGCTTTCTTTGCTTTCACTTTTGGTGTCAAATCTAAAAAGTCGCAACTATGTAGTTGTCTATTTTATTTTTCAGGTTTTATGTTCAAGTCTCTAATTCTATTTTGATTTGGTTTTTGTGTATAGTGTGAGATAGTGGTCTAGCTTAACTCTTCTGCATATGGATGTCTGGTTTACACAACACCATTTATTAGTGATACCGTCCTTTTCCAAGCTTCCATTTGTGTTGGGATAAGTACATGATGACTGAATAACTAACTATGTAGAGCTGTGTAGTACATCAGATCACAATACTGTGAACATGTGTATCATGCTGTAGAGCATGGTAAAGTAAGAAAGGAAGAATGGAGAATGTTGGCCTATTGTAGTTTTAAATAATTAAAGCCAGTGTATTGAGCAAACTCCTGAAAAAGAGTTATATTCTGTGCAAAGGAATTTGAGCAAATGATGTAGCAGACTTGACTGTGTATAATATGTCAAAATTTCTGGTCTTGCACATGGGTGACTTGGTGATGGGAAACCCGCGGGGTTTACAATTGAGATGGAAAAAAAAATGTACAAAATGATGTAAAAATAAACTTTTGTAATAAAAAAAAATTCTGGTCTTGCAGTTTTAGTATTTCATTGAAGCAGGAAATAAATATGTGTGGGGGTAAAGGAGAGAAGGTGCCATTTCTGAAGGTGTGATGCATCGGAAAGGACAACAAAGGACTTAATTGCTAGGCAAAAGCTGTGCCCAGAAAATTCCAGGGCCACAGGTGTGTGAAGGCCTTTGCCGTCATGTGACCACCTCCTATAGAAGTTGTTTCTTACATCACAGTTGACAATAGAACAATAGGTTTTATTTTGACAGCAGATTATTGCGTGATCACACTTTAATAAACACTCCTCAAGCCTTTATGTCTGGGAAGTAAACCTAATTCCTCTCATTGCAGCACTAATGTTTTGCGCTTGTCTGTCTCTGCAGCTTTGTAGGAAGCCAACCTCAGAGAGGCAGACGGGATGGCTAGCTCAGCTAGGGAGCACCTGCTTTTTGTGCGGCGTCGAAATCCCCAGATGCGGTACACACTGAGCCCAGAGAACCTCCAAAGCCTTGCTGCCCAGAGCTCCATGCCGGAAAACATGACCCTCCAGCGGGCCAACAGTGACACAGACCTGGTGACTTCTGAGAGCCGCTCCAGTTTGACAGCCAGCATGTATGAGTACACACTGGGGCAGGCCCAGAACCTCATTATCTTCTGGGATATTAAAGAGGAGGTGGACCCTAGTGACTGGATTGGACTCTATCACATCGGTGAGTCAAAGGAAATAGACTTGTTTATCAATTAGAGTGTGTAGTTTTACTCTATAGTTTATTATATTGTGTTTTCTTCCAGAAACAAACACAGCTAGATTCTGGGAGGTTTCTTCATTCGATTGGGGGAGTGTCAACAATTAAAAACACTTTTGCTGATAAGGATTTTATGGTTATATTTCTACTCTCATCAAATGTAGCATCTGCAAATTTTATTTATTTATTTATTTATTTTTTAATGTACATTGTCTTTGATCAATAGTCCCATTCTGGAAGGAGGTGACTTTTATCATTTACTAATATTTTTGAACTGATAGATGTCTGGATTTAGAGAACTGATGTGAGAAATGTGTGTTTCCTAAAGGTTGACTTTCATTAAAAATAGCTTACAACCTAATGTATCTCTTCAGTTCAGAATTCCCCAATGTATCTTAGATCAACTAGGTAAGTAGAGTATCATAGTTCTTCTAACAAATGACTTAAAAAACATCATTATTAATGTAAGTGCCCAACTGTTTTCAGTTATTTTGTATTTGTTACTCATAGGTGATGAGTAGCACATTTGGGGAAAAAAAATCTGCTTTATTTGAAAGCAATAATCAAAATCTATCAACCAGCATAAAGAAAATCTTAATAAAATCTAACATTCCTCAAAGTGGGACTTTATCATGTAATGAAGGGAATGTCTTTCAAAATTTAACATCATGTACTTTATTGTGAAGACCTTGTAGCTACAAGTCCAGAATCTTTTCTTTCTTTTAAAAGAAATTAGGGAGGAATAAAGACCTTTCTGTTCATGGTAGTGCTTCTTGACCAGGGGTAATTTGTCACCTTACAGGACATTTTACAATATCTGAAGACGTTTTGATTTGGCATAATTGGGTGACAGGGTTGGAGACAAGGGACACTGCTAAAAATCCCATAACAGGACAACCCTCTGAAACACCCCCTGCCGCCTCCCAACAAAGAATTATCTGGGTCCAAATGTGAACATAGCCACTGGTGAAGAATCCTGGTTTGAGATAAAGTAAAATCTTATCTGGAAATTTGCTTCCCCCCCCTTATTCCTCCTATGAAAACAAAAAAGGGGGAAATATCTTCAGAGTTGGACATTTATGTCAGTTATATTTAAATATATATTCAAGGTGAGGAAGATACATGATGTAAAATGTTTCTATTTCTGATGCTCATAATTTCCACAAACGACCTTAGACTTACTATGTGGTCTTAGAAGTGAGTCTTTTAGGTTGTTGTAATTTCACCCTTGTGGAGTGCATTGAACTTTTTTCACCCTTTTCGTATTTTTTTCTTCCTTTTCATTTTAGATTGATGTGGTTGGCTATGAAACTACAAGGAACATATTTTGTTTTCTTAAATGCTTTTTATTTAGTATTTCTTTGGGAGAGGATCCACTTACTTTCTTCTGTAGGATGAGTTCTTTTGTGTATGACTAACTTTGGAAGAAGCTAGAGTCACTTAAAACAATGACTCCTATTACTTCATATTTTCCCCAACAGCCTCTGTGTTTCCTTGCCCCACCTACTGAATTTTCCTGTTTAAATTTAATCAGGAAGAAACTAAGGAATCCAAATCTTATTTACAAGTGCTCAAAGCCACAAAATCTTGGTGATATTAAATTTTACTTTCTAGAGGAAGAGGTATAGGTTAGAATACTAAATCTGGCATTAACTGAAGGCTATATTAGGAAACTAGAATTAGGAAATAAATCTCTTGAAAAGTGCTAACTTTTCTTCAGCTTATTTCAAGATGTTTCTGTAGATTTCTCACCACCATTGGATGTTTGCTGCCTGGTATGAAAATGTATCTTTTTTCATCTTTGTTGCTTTTAACATTTTCTCTTTATTTTGGCTTGTAGTAGCTTGTTTATGAGGTACCAGGTCTGATTTTCCTTTTTTATCCTGACTGGATTTAGTCTTGATAACTAATATATATATTTTTAATGAGTGTTGAAATTTTGGTCATAATTTGTACAAATATTTTTCTATTTTTTTGAGACTCCAGCTGAACATATCTTACACAGTTCCCGCTGTTCCATATTTCTTCAATCTTGTTGATATTCAGATTTCATGCTTTTTGCTTACTTATCTTCAAGTTTGAAAACTTGTTATTTTAATCTTCATCTGTCATTTGCTCCAATTAACACATTTTTAAATTTTAGTCATTTAAGTTTTCCTTCACAGTTACTTTGCATTTCTTTCTTTTTATAACTTTTTTTTTTATTATGTGGTTCTCTGTATATCAGTTTATTCAAACCACATATTTGTTCAGTTCTTCAAATTGAACAGAACTGTATTAAATTCTCTGCCTAGTAAATGTACCCTCTAAGTCATCTAAGGGCCAGTTTTTATTGCCTTCTTTCCTCCTAACGATGGCTTGCCTTTTCCTGTTTGTTTTTCATACATTGAACAGTTTTTGATGCTATATTGTATGTTGTGAATTCTATGTTATAGAAATGCTGAGTTTTGTGGAATAATTTTTTATTTCAATGTTAGTTTTAATTCTTGTTAGGCAGATTTATTTCCATGACCTTGCCTTAAATTTACCCTTTGTTAAGACGATGCATGCAAATCCCAGTGAACTTATCCAGCACTTGTAGCTTGATGGTGTCTACAGTGAACTTGGAGGGTTTGATTTGGGTTTTTGTTAGGGTGCAGGTAGGCCTTATTGTTGGACTTCTACTTATGTGTAGGACTGGCATGTCTTAGTTGGATGCCTTGAATGATAACCCGGTCTCTTTGATTTGGGCATGAGTGCTGTGTCCTCTAACATGGCTTGTAGGAGCTCTATGGCATTCTCAGCCCTGCAGCAACTGCCTTCAGGATAACTTTGGTAGCCTTGTCCAGCATATGCAGCCTGGGAATTAGCCAAATGCTTTGTGGGTCCCCATTTAAAATTTTGTGTTCAGCCTTCTGTCGCTCCTTCCTTCCTTCAGTTGACCCAAATTCTCATCTCTGCTCCTCAGCTCACTGTGAGAGCCATGGACTGTCTCTAGCTCCCCATGTTGCACTCAGAAAATTGTCCCTGATTGAAATCTGTGTGGCCATAGAATCACCTCATAAATTTTTTTTCTTTCTGGGATTTTAATTTTATACTACCTATTGTACAATGTCTTTACTGCTTCCTAATGTAACTGGTGGCTGAAGCCATAAACTATTACAGGTGGTGCCCCCTGGTGGGGATCGCTGGTGAGGCTAGATAGCTCAGGGAAAATGCCAAAATGTATTTTTTTGGGGGGTGACCAATAAGAAATACCCGTGATTGCAGAAGGGGGTGTGGACTCAGTCTGTCTTCAGGACTCAGGGTTTTTGGCTCTTCAGCATTTTGGGTCAGTGGATTTGGGCCTCCACTGTGCTGATCTTCCAGAAGGCTGTTGGGGCCCTCGAAGGTAGTGTTGTTTACATTAAGAAGATAGTCTAGAGCCTAGTTACCATGATATGATGTGAAGCAGAAGTTTCTTCATGCTTCTGACTTAGAATAGAGAGTAAGAAGCTCCACTTAATTTTCCCCTACAGCCATTTCCAGTGAATTATGATTAAGGCTGACTGTTTGGGCCCCATGTGTGAGTTCTTTTTAGTGTGTTTTCTAATAGGTTTAGGTCCTTATTGAGGAAGAAGACTGAAAAGTTAGTACCTTTAGTCCTCTCAAGAGGTTAGAACAAACAAAAAGACTACCATTTACAAACAGAAATACTACATAGGAAGAATGAGGGACCGGGGGTTCTCAATCATGCTGTTGGTTCCAGTAGATCTCCCACAATGAATGGCTTTAAAATATACAAGTACCAGCATCTAGGACAGTAAATATGGCTGATTACTATTGCTTCAGTTCTGTATCTGTGTTTAAAAGGAAGTTTGGTTTACCTGGGACTTCAACATTAGTAAGCAGAGGCCTACTTTAATCAGAATTAGCCATTTTTGTCCTGGGTAGGGATAGATTGTTCTGACCTCTGGATTGGTGGAGATACTGTTATCCCATGTGGAGATGAATGGGTGATAGTATTGGGGTCTTTAACTGACAGCCCTTTTCTGTCCCCTTGCTTCTGGTTCCTGGAGTGGGTAAGTAAACTCTTAGGGCAAATAGGCCTCCCCAGGCTCAGGAGAGATCTAAATATTGATGTAGTCCAACTAGTGTGTAATCAAAGGGTGGACTTGAGACCCACTTCTGACCAGTAAGGGAAGACTTTGGGGAGTTTCCTTTTCCAATGAAGAGCCAGAACCTCATGAATAACATCTTTTAAACTTCTCCTTCTCGTACTTGGGGCGCTAGTTGTAAGGTTGT